AAAGAATAAATGTCCGTGGCAGTGACAGATTAAGATAATGGAGTGTCACCACCCCTATTTATCCGGCAAACTACGCAGGACAACAACACTGAAAATAGAAGGAAAATTTAAAACAAACCCTATATCAACCAGTCTGGCCAGTGTGGTATTGTAGGCCAAAACTATGTCCACCAGTGGACTATTAAAGGCTGTTAATGATGAATATAAACGAAATGTCCCAAATCCATGATGTTTAATGATTTCATGAAGAAAGCCATTGCGGGGAAGGGATGGAGGCTAAGGTTCGATCTTCAGTAGCATGTCTCCATGGACGTGGGTAGTCACTTATCACCAGGTGACCCGTCTGCTCGTTTGCCCCCTTATAAAGAAACAAAGGCAAACAAAGAGTTACGTAATAAATAAGTATTTAATATAAACAGTACACACATTGGGTTTGTGTCTTACGATAAACGTAATATACGACTTAACAAGAGTGCAAAAGCACTTCACAGTTATGCCATAGAATTTTATTTGAATTTACCTGAGAATTCTGTTCCACTGTGAAGCCAGAATTGTCTAAGAACTCGTGTTAGTCATGTTCCCGATGTTAAAAGATCATGGCCAGCATTTAATTGACAATCAATTCACTGTGTCAGGAAACAGGTACATAACCATGCTGACAATGCAACTGTCAAATTCGACAGTTAGGAGGGCACCGTTTCTTTCTCGAAAGAAAATAACAAAATTCAATATGTCTTTAGTATGAACAACAAATAACTATAACGCAACTTGTTTGTCACAGGGGTCAGGCCTGTGGTTATTTGCTTCAGATAGTCCTGTATATTATGAAATCACAAACATCACTTTTATAATTATAAGATAAATACAAAGATGAAGTCGTTTATAGTTTCGTTAATTTTATTAATTTGGGTAAAATATGTGGTGTTAACTGTGATCAAACTACCGCCAAGTTTATTATAATACGCAGTAATTTAAGGTCCCCTAATCTGAAAATGAAGTACAAATATTAGACGTGAGTACAGTTTATTTTTGTTATTGTTACGAGCGGGGTATATAATAAATAAAAGTTGTCGGTTAATTACTTCTATTGAAGTGTATGTACAAACACTCACTATAATAAATTAGAAATCACTATGTAACTCGTTAGTCGCACTAGAAATTCACTTCGATGTTAATTCGCTGGCGGCCATACAATTCTGGAACAATCAAAGCATTTAATCTTATGGCGCAACGGCGCAACATTATTATTAAGTGTAAGGTATGCCCGTTCTGTGCTGTGCAACAATATTTATAATAAATACATTTTGGCACGAAATAGAGAGATTTTCATTGCATAATACAAGATTAAAACTGTTAAGTAGTTCAGTAAATCTTTAATAGATGGCGTTAGGTTTATTCATAAAACACATTATTGTAACAGAGATATTAAGTAGGTACCTAGTATATTTCTTACCTAATCGTAGGCAATAGAAAAAATATTAAATTTTGTTTATTTATCTCCACAAACAGTCTTAAAGGTACATCACAATTTTTTCTTACATAAATAAATTTATACTGTGGAGACTGGAGCCTGCACTAGGTTTAACCTGTGTTACAAGTCTCCAGGCCTCCAACTCGGTCAAAAATGGGAATTTAAAATCTAGAAAAAGTGTAACAATACAATAAGGTTTACAAGGTTACAATACAATAAACAATTTGCTTGGTGAGATTCAGTTATCATTTTACAGTCTTGGTGACAGTCAGATGTATCGTGTTAATAATTTTGTGTAAATGTGAGTATGTATGTATGTTGTTGCTATGTGTATATGTGTGTGCATACACACACATGTACACATAAAAACATCATACATACATACTCTATACTCTCTACCACAGTAGAGAATAGGAAAGATTAGGATAAGTAAATAAATAAATAGATAGATACACTAAGTGATATTTTGTACTAACTTATCAGTGGCTTCATAGAAGTACCTTTGAACTACAAAACATTCTAAACATACAGGAAACTTAGGTACAATGAGCTCAAATTTTGACACGATATATACCCACTGCACAGGTACTTTTTATCTATTTTTCGCGTCAGCTTTTTCCTAATTTCTCATCCATGCAACCACAATGTGCCACAGCGAAGCGTGGCAGGGTACAGACAGTTTACTATAATTTTCTCTTTTATCCGCTTTTTTACTGGCGTTGATGTAGATTTTGTCAACAAATATATACAAGAACAGATATGTTTTTGTACACAAAGAGTATAATATATCCTTGTCTGTCACCTGACAATGTATTCCTTCATGATGATCGATTGAATATTTAAGGCGTAAAAGCATATTAAACAAACTGACATTCGGATTGAGAATAAAATTATTTTCTTTGATTTCAGACCGAGTATACGGCGTACTAGCCTTGATGGGACATCGTGACATTTCTATAGTACAATAGCCTTCCAAGTTACAATTTCCATCCTACAATACTCATTACCAGATAAACACATTTATTACGTGTAAAAAACTCTGAGATATTTAATTTAGGAAATCCCTCACATATGTAGAATTCAAACAATTATAAAACTATGTATTTCTATTACATATCAAATGTATACTTACATACATAACTGACAAATTAAATTACACGGTTGTAGTCATGAATATATCATTAATTGTGTATGACGTAGGGTTGTCACTCTGTTTTATTCGAAGGTCTATTGAATAGAATTGTTATATTTTTTCTATATTTTTTATTGTATAATTGTAATGGTAACCTTATTCTTAAATTATTATAAGCAGCATTGTATTAAACGTGTGTTTAGATTGTTTTTTATTTAGTGTAAAGAATATTATAATAATATTTATTAGCCGCCATATATATATATCCAGTGTTTTAATGGAAGCAATAAATAGCTTCGAAACTCTAATCATCATCTCATCTAAATTATTTGGAATTAGACCCACGATCTTTACCTTCAAGATCGCTTTAGATCATGATGTGCATTACGAGGTAAATTAACTACTGATCCTGCACTCCGCAATGAATTTCTCATCAATGCATCCACAATGTGCCACAGCGAAGCGTGGGAGGGTACAGCTAGCGTATTATATAAAACTATGCTGTTCAGCCATAGTCAGACATAATAACTTAAATTGTTTGGAAGATTCTTCCTATACCTACGTTGAAAGGACCAACCACTCATTATTCCAAATGAGAAAAACCGTACGTACCTTAATAAATATAAAGTCATAAGTAACTGACACCCCTACGGATTATGAAGTGTTGCTTTGTCTCGCACGGAGAATCCCCAGTTACTGGCCAAACCACTTTGTTATACAAGTTTCATCATGAACTTAAACCTGATATTGCGTCTTATTTTTATATAGAGACTGAGCAGCTCACGCATACTCCGCAAGGCTATATTTTCTTTCTTCACTTAAAAGGCTCCTTAGTACTAAGCTATTTAGCATGTGCTAAGAGACACGTTGGTGAATGAGTGAGGAGGCTACGGTAACTTCGTCCAGTTGCACGCATGTACTGATCCGGTATATATAAACAAGTGCATTCCTGTACCGATGGGTTGTTTACCTTACCTTGTCGTCTCTGTTGTCTGAGGATAGTTAGTTACCTATTGTTAAAGTAAATTATTTAAGTACAATTACATGTTAATTAAGACATAGAAAAAATGTTTAAATTAGCAAGACCAAGCGTCAAATCATTTACTTAACTTTAGCTATTTAATTTTAGAATAATGAATGATGCCACAAGTAGTTATTTAATGTAAATATCTCCATTACCTGCCTTTTTGACATGCCACAAAGAGAAACTGACTTGGGATCAAATGTTATTTTAGAGGTTACAAGATATTTTTAATGCATTGAGCTTGTTGATTGTTTACAGTTTTGCTTTCTTATCAAATGTATCTACATATATCTATAAAAGAAGAAACTGACAGAATACTTTACTGGTCGAGCAACGCACAGCTAAAGCCGCTGGGTCCAGGAGCCTGAAATTTAGCACAAATGTTGCTTAGGTGCCGTAGGTGTGCACTAAAAAAGGATTTTAACAATTCCACACCTAATAGTGCAAAATGGGGGTTGAAAATTTGTATGAAACTCCATTGTTTTTGTCAGTACCGTTTCCCTAAACTTGAACGCGCTACACACTCGAAATTTTGGCAGTTGATGCTTTTTATGTTGTAACCACCCAATAAAAAGGATTTTTGTAAAGTGGAACCCTTTCTTTACGCGGATGTAGCCAAGATGTCTATAACGATACTGCACGGATGGCATAGTGGTTTAAGCGGTCGCCACGCCGCTTCCTAGTACGCCGAGTGTTGTGGGTTCAAACCCCACATGGGACAATTGTTGACAAATCCACAAATTGTTGTTCTGAGCCTGGGTGTCCTTTGTGTCCGTTTCATGTATGTTTGTAAAGTCCCCCGCGACACAGGATATATTCTCTGTCAGATCATTGCCACAATGCGTAATCTTTCAGTCTTTCAGAAGCCAAACGTTTTTTCTTGAGCTGTATATTTTTCTTAGCCATAGGATGGTGTTATGTTAAGCAAACGCTATTGATAAGTCAAAAATTTCCTTACTCAACGATTATATTACAAATTATTTATAAAAAAATATGCACAAAGCAGATTTATATCAGTTGTTTTACACAAAAGCTTAACTCAAACTGTAACGCTGCCCAGAAATACAATATTATACTATCAGTAAGTGTGTCTAAATAACTTCTTTTGTACAGTCAGACAACTTCAACTTAAGAAACATGTTGCCCCATCTTTCATAGACACCATAATTATTTTTTAATAATAACCATTATGACTGCCTGAGCCTGTGGCTAATTTGGCAATTCCTGTGATCCAAAAATCTATTTCATAGAAATGAAAGGAAAACCTTTTAAGCTTTTAACAAAAACAATAATAATTGACCAAAGCGATTCTATAAATACCGGTGGTTACGACATTAAAAACATTATCGTTGATACCATCCTAATAGGAAGTAATGTTCGCGCAACATATTATATTCCTCGTCCTCTTAATAAACTACAGCACACCTAAAGAGAATGCTGTATACCAAGTCTCGGGAATCCAGATAATAGACCTGATCCGTGGGTTTAAACCAAAGGAAATGTTGAAACTAACCAAAGTTGAAGGAGGCCCATCCAGTTTACCTGACGGAATATACTTCGAGCCGGAAGATGACGCCTTGATGCCTGAAGAAATGAAGTTTTTATATTTAAATGTAAGATTCGTTATTTCTACTCTTTATATATATATAATTTATGTTAGACAGTAACTTACTAAAAATATATCATCGTATTTAGTCAGGTTCTCGTTTATTATATTATAGAGCGATGGGCGCTTAGTAAGCCGTGACGTTTTTCTTACTCATCAGTAAAAATATATACGTAGGTTTATGTATAATTTCATCACTTAAAATTATTATCCCTCACTGCAACGAAAGTTTACACTATTAATCCTCGATAATCTTAATTGAAAAAACTTGTTTTTTATATTTCATAATTAACTTTCATAATTAAAAAAAACACACTAAGAAATAGGTAGGTACTATAGGTACATATTAGGTATATATACATAATACAGCTACATGAATATTTATGGACGTCAATCATATGATTTAAAATAAAATTGAGACAGTTCTTCCTCAGTTGAAAAAAAAAACAAATTGTAAATTAATAAATTATACCTGTTATTCTCGATCCTCGTAAAACGCGACATTGAAATTATTTTTAAGAAATTATTTGGATTACAAATAATATGAATTACATACATTTTAAGGTAAGAAATCACAACTTGAGACTTGATGGAGGTTACACACAACCTTCTGACCCCAAACCAGGCAGTACCCTTACTAGAGTAACCAGACTGCTTATAAGTATTCATATATATATATATATATATATATATATATATATATATATATATATATCATATAGATGATCGCGCTCATCACACAACTGTTACTTGCTGCTTGTGTCTCTACGTTACAAACAGTATTTTTGTAGTATATATTTTTCTATACAGATATACCTATGGCTTAATTGCGTATATCTTAAGTCAAACTTATTGCACCAATAAAGTTTATTAATATATTACATTTTCGTAAAGTTTTTTATCTAAAAGGGGCAATTAAAGTTATTTAACAACTTTTTTATTGTAATTAACTTGCAAAGTTTGTGAGTTTCCTAGTTTTAATCAAAGCTGTTTCAAACCGCCTGATCTTATCATAGGTATTAACCATAAATATTACATTTCTTTATTTCTTACTATTGAATTCAACCAGTTTTTTTGCGTAAAGTTGTATATCATATGGTATTCTTATCTTCTTTTTGAAGCTTTACACTAAATCTTGTTACTAATTTCATATATTAATCGTCAACACAAACATTCTTGATAAACAACTTTTGGTGTAAGTATTTAGAATAAAATAAAATGAATTTTCTGTCATTTAGGTAAGCTTCTAGCTCAATATAGCCTTATGATTTGATAAAATAAGTACATCATAAAACTAGTAATAAAAAGTTTAGTAGAAGCCACCGGATCAAAGTAACGGAGTTATTTTTTCTTCGCGTTCGACAATAATGATGATGTCCTCCGCGACATATCCGTAGGTCATATCCGATTTCTGATATATATGGATATGATATATGGACGGTCCTTCCGTCCATCAGGTTACTGAGATCCAGAACTCAGATCACTCAGATTGTCATTAAGCGAGCTCTTACCAGTCCTCACACGGAATGTCATATGCTGTTAGCTGGCGTTTCAGGACGTCCCTGTAACGTAGGAACTGTCCCTCTGGCTTGCGTTTTCCTCGAAAGAGTTCGGAGAAAAAGACACATTTGGGCAGTCTTAGTAATAATACAATATGAATACGGCTGCTAAATAGCTCCAGGATACTTGTACTTGGGACGCTTCACAGCGGTTGAGTTCGCAATGTTTCCCAAGTCATACAATTTGGTGCAATTCTTTTAATCTCGAACATTGAGATCTAAATTTCAACTCTTATATAATAGACACATCCCTACTACGGATGTTGGACAATAAGACTTATAGATATTAAGATTACCTAGATAGTAAGTATCCGCTGATTTAAAGACTTTAATGGACCGGGTTAATTCTGTTGTTTTAAATATTTAATTTTAAATAGACACAGTAGAATGAACCTGAAGTAGAAAGTTTATTCCCAACTTAAACGATACAAGAGTTACATTAACTTGTTTTACAGTTTTTATTAATATTTAGATTTGAATTATCGATAAAGCTGTTGTTTTAATAAGTTTTTACTCGTCTTGCTTTCAGGGACAGGAAACAAAAACGAAATCGAAAAAACTTGATGGAATCACGACAGACGATTAAGATTGCTGTGAACATCGAGTGTAAAACTATGTGAATAATCAACAACAATACAATATACTTTATGTTGTATTATTAGTTAGAATCACGTATTTGTAAAAGGTCATATAAAATAATAAACAGGAATGTTGTTTCATATCTTGAAGCTTTTTATGCAATAATAAGCAAGTTCAATAACTTATGTTTATGATAAGGCTGACATAATTAGTATTCACATTTTGAAACCTATGATTATTAAATTTATATGAAAATAAATTGATGTGTTTAGCTTTTTAATCGGCAATGTGATGATATTATTGATAAGGAGCTATCTAAATAGCTAGCTACGCCGATGCGAGTGCTTCCTACTGTGAGACCCACCTCGAGACCCAGCCGCCGGATCCGCTCAACGACTTGAGCAACCCCGGCCGTGGCCCTCAGGGTTGCCGCACGGTTCATCTTGTCGCACGCCGTCACGAGTGTGTCGTCCGCGTAGCACGTGCCGGCGACACAATCCAAGAAGGCACCACGAAGCATCCAGCCCTAACACCGACTCTGTAGAACACCGCACGACAATCCACGTCTACCGAGACCGGTCCTACTTGGGTCGACGACGGCTCTCTCCGACAAATATTTGCCTCTCTACCTCCGCCCCGATTATGCGGCGGAGGTAGAGAGGCACGTCGTGATACACAACCGTACTGATTGTCGGCCAGATCCGGCCCCACTATGACGAGATGCTTGACGAGGCGCCTTGCAATCACTCTTTCGAAGAGCTTGCACACCTCGTCAAGCAACACTATGGGCCGGTAGGCGAAATGGTGAGTCCGCGGCGGCTCTCTTCGGATGAAGACCAGTTTCCCCATCATCATCATCATCATCAACAGCCTATACTAGTCCACTGCTGGACATAGGCCTCTCCTTAGAAAGGAGGTTTTGGCCTACTATACCACGCTGGCCAGACGGGTTGGTATAGGGTTTGTTTCAAGTTTTCCTTCTCTTTGCAGTGCTGTTGTCCTGCTTAGTTTGCTCCCTTAGTCGGCTCTTACGACACCCACGGGATGAATTGGGGTGGTGACAATTTGTATTCTTAATCCGTCACCACACGGACTAGTTTCCCCGTCTTCCACAATTTCGGAAACAGGCCCCGTTCGAGGCATGCGCTGAAGAACGATCCTGGGTCCTCGTCATCTAAGGCCATGAACCATACTCAGCCTGGGTTGCTATCAGGTCCTGGGGCGGTGTTTTTGGCTTTAAGCCGTAGTACCGCCACCCTTAGTTCTGCCCAAGTGACCTCAGGCACGTCGTCGTCATCCACGTTAGGCGCGCCGAGCGACGGAGGCGGAGCCATCTGTGATGGAGTATGCTCCACAGGCGATTGGTAGTCATACTGATTGTCCATGTTATTTTCGATTTATCCTCGTTGTATGAATCAAATGAAGTTTCTTTATAGAGCAAGCTTACACGTGTTTAATAGGTATCTATAGATTGCCTTAATAACACAATGAAAACAACATATAAGAAAACAGCATATGCGAGATGAGATCATGTATAATCTGTATTGAGCATCTGTATTAACTACTAAGAAGATATTATAATTACGAATACAAATGATTAAGTTTAACTTATAGGCTAACGCCATAAAGTCATTAAGCTGAAATGTGGTTTCTCTATTTAAATTAGAGTTTTAGTACTGTGCTCAGAAGATCAATTCTCGTAATTAAAGTTCGGTCACAATTCAGTTCCGATCAACTCTCGATCTAACAACTGTCATACTTTGAGATTTGGCCTTCAGATCACGTTAGGAGTTCCTTTTAGTGTGTATCATTAATTCTTACGTATACATAAAAAAGTTTAAGCCCAGATTGTAACATATTTTTTTTTATGAAAGATCTTTAAAGAAAGTCCCGGGGACTTTACAAACATACATGAAACGGACACAAAGAACACTCAGACTCAGAACAACAATTTATGGATCACACAAAGTGTCGTTCCATGTGGGGATCGGACCCACAACACTCAGCGTAGTAGTAAGCGGCGTGGCGACCCCTTAAACCACTACGCCATCCATGCAGTCTCTCTTCTTGCGAAAGCAAACAAAATCGAAACTGTTTTTTTATAATACTGAAACGTTTGTTCCAGAAACTACAAGACTTGAAAATACCGTCAAATATCGAATAAAAGCTGTATGAAGTTTGCGTAAATATAATTAAGTAGATAGGAATATTATAGATTATTTGTTATCCTTGGATCTAAAACGATCAAATCTTTATTACTCGTCAGATTGTAATATAAGCTTTATTGTACATTTTTTTATCACATTTCATAGTATGCGAATCATGCTTCTAATAATGTTTACAGTGACAAAGCACAATATAAATATGTTCGTGGTATATTTTTCCAACTTAGTGTTTAATAATAATTTTTCTTTATATTATACAAAGAAATATTATAATTTTAATCATGAGTAGATAAAATTAATAAATAGTATTTTTAAAGTCCAAAACAAGTCATATTTTTGTCTGGGAACTCTTAAAATATATTTTGGTGTATTGCCGTACATTGCAATTATAGATTTAAAGGATACATTTGCTTTTAGTCACATATTTTCTTTTCTTGGTTTATAGCCATACTTAAGGCACGCTTAAAAATCCCATCAAAACTAAAATTTTTGAATGTAATTTTAATATTTAAATGGTAGGTATATACTTTTTAACATTTTCCTCTTTTAAATGCCTCATGAAGTCAACGCTATGATTCATATTAATCTAAAAAGGTTCAAACCGTTATTGATGTTTGAACCTTCGTGTCTTTAAAAAGTAAAAATTTACGTAGTCATTTAGTGAATTTCTGTAAAATATTAAACAAACAGAGATGTGGCCATTTTGGATGACCGCCAAGACCATCTAAGCATTTAAATCTTTAAAAGCAACCTGTTTTTGCTTGAAGCAGTTTTATTTATATACTGTTTATGAACATTATTCTTTCATACTTACTGATTGTTACTACTACTGTTTCTAAGGAACTTAGATATCGCCTGGTACTTGGGTTGTGGAGGTCTGATGGCAGTATCGTAGTAGACTTAGTAGTAGACAACCTAGTTTGGGCAAAAGGCTCAGAAGACTTACTAATGGTTCGTTCTTCAATTATTATTCTATTTACCTACCCAAAAATGTAAGTAAAGTTTAAAATAACTGTATGAATTATTTAGATTTAGAGATGGATGCAAAAAGAAACGAAATAGAAAAACTGCTGTTAATTCATAAAAACTAATAATTATAACTGTTCGTCGTCCTCTTTAAGAATAAAAAGTCGTATGCAATAACATAAGGTTTCTCATTTAGATGGTTTTTAAACCAAACTATAATAAAAACAAAAAGCATGATTAATATATAAAGAGGCTGCATGTCACAAGTCAGTTACGCCGATAGATTCACCAGTTTAAGTCCAATGTAAACAGCAGGTACCAAAAAGATAAATATAATTCAAAAGTTTATAAATCTTGGTTTATCCATCACGTCGTCGACACTGAAGGAAACTAAAAAAGTGTCAATTAAGATTAAGATTATCATTTTATACACAATAGACGCCGTATAACAATTTATTACATGAGAATATGGAAAACAGGAATAAGTTAATTTAATAAAAATTTTAGCATCAAGGTTAGAAACAATGAATGCTACTTAAGGTGGTTCATCCTCGCTTGAAAATGAAGAAAAATGCTGCAGTAATAACGCAAAGGGCAGAAGATAGACCTTTTCTTGATAGTAGAAGTTCCGTAAACATTACTGTACTCTCTTCTGTCGGTAGAGTACCAATAATAAAAAATATCTGCAAGTGACAGTAATCAATTTATAAAAACTGTTATGAAAATATCGTGATACTCTTGTTTTACATACGATATCCAACGATGGAAGACCTTTTATTGTACCAGCCGGTCATCTTTTGCCTGATAGTTTTATAGAGGAAGATACAATGAAAGTGAGGTTACTTAAAAATTAGGGATAGTTTTTTTCTGGTACTTGAGATAGGTTACTGCCTATTGGTAAACTAAGTACATTTGTATCATCATCATCATCATCAACAGCCTTTAATAGTCCCCTGCTTTACATAAGCCTCTCCTTAGAAAGGAGGTTTTGGCCCACTATACCACGCTGGCCAGACGGGTTGGTATAGGGTTTGTGTCAAGTTTTCCTTCTCTCTGCAGTGTTGTTGTTCTGCGTAGTTTGTTTCCCTTAGTTGACTCTTACAACACCCACGGGACATTTGTATAGCAATATTTTTTTATTCTCTATCAAACATACATATAGTTGTGTGTTGATCGTATTTCTTTATTTGTGTTCCTTTAATATTTCCTATTTTTACAGTTCGTCCATATGGTCAGTTGATATTTAGCCGTAATTCTACCATTAATTTACATTTTGTTAAATACAAAAAATATTAAACATTGACTTGATTAAACTTGATTTTGAGTTAAACGGTGACGTATTCGGGGGATTCCAAATAAATGTTTCGCATTGCAAACATCTTTTATTGACTCCTTGAGTGAACTCTTAATAGTCTATTATAAAATAAATAACGTACAATGTGTTTTTATCGTGTGGAAATCCCAAGGCTTCATCATTACTTCAACAGCCTTTAATAGTCCACTTCTGAACATAGGCCTCTCCTTGGAGAGGAGGTTTTGGCCCACTGTGCCACGCTGGCGAGACGGGTTGGTGCAGGGTTAGTTTCAAGTTTTCCTTCTGTAACTTTTGGCGTCAGCTAATTATTTAGCAACGACTATGATCATCAATTTTTGTTGACAATACAATTAGCAAATTTATGAGTACTTTGCATAATCGTAATGTAAAAAATAGTTTTATATCATTGTAGCACTACCTAGTTTTGCTCCAAATATCGTTCAGTAGTTTTGACAATCCGTTTTTGATCATCTTCTTTTGTCGTTGACTGTACATAGAATCGTTCTCCTTACTTTAAGATCTTTACATAGAATCGTTCTTCTTACTTTAAGATCTTTAATT